AGCAATATGGATTGTGTCAACCTTCAAAATATCGAAAAACAGTCCAGCTCCAATTTATATATTTACTTGATTAAAATTTTAAAATTTAGGGTCAACTAGAATAATGCTTCATGGAATGCTGTATTGTGAAATATCTCTCTGAGCAGCTGGCATCAACTTGATTATCTTAGTTAAGACAGAAAGTTTATAAATGCAGAAAACATTCCTTCAGCATTTCAAATTAATGCCATTGTATCCACTTTTATAATAAAGAATTTGCCAGCCAAACTAAAAATTGAAATGTTTACCCTTTTTTTTTTTTTTTTTTAATTTCATGCCGAGACTGTTAGTCAGATTTATGGATATTGCTGATATCTGACCTTTACAATCAAGTACCCCTCGAACCTTAATCAAAGATCCATATTTGTATTTTACATGTATCATAATTGTAACCAAAAACCACATTTTTATTTTTTGCTGCAAAAGCAAGGAAAGACAGATTATGAACCATCAGCATTTTCATTGCTTGTTTGATTACAGCTGCTGTCTCCTGAATTTCAAGTTTTGGTTTAGGTTGCATTCATATCAGAGGTGCCATTTGGCCTTAGAATTTAATTCTTTTTTCTACAGAAAGTGTTCACACAATTTTCTAATTTTTTGATTTTTAATAATTGAATTTAAATATTAATTTTAAAATACAAACATGATCGGCATCATATTGGAATAAAGTTTAATTATTGTTTGCAGCATTAAAAATATTCTTTTCTGTAAAATGTCACTGAAAAATAAACAATGGATCAAAGGCTATATTTTTGAACTGCCCAAAGAGAAACACTCTTATTCAGTTCTTAAAAAAAAAGAAGTAAAAAGCATGGTTTTTAGTATTTTCACACTTAAAAAAAGTGACATAATTAATATGAAAGGAAACAAATGTCAAAGTTTACATCTGACCGGGAAAAGGGCAAAAAATGTATACCCAATATAGGTATGTGCAGCTCTTATTAAATCTAAAGTCGCATCTCATATTTTAAACAAAAATCCAGCCCCTCCCCCAAAGTGTTATTGCAAAATCTTTAAATATCTCTATAGGAACCGTGAACAAAATTATAAAATCTGATTTAAAGGTAATAATAATAATAATAATAATAATAATAAAAAAACATGATGTTTATCGCTTAATGCTAAAACATGTTTCTCAGTACAAGACTATGTGCAGATTATTGTATGAAAATTATTTGGCAGGTGAAAACTAGAAATATGTAGTTACAATTGATGAGGCTTGGATATACTTATCTGATTGCAATAAAAAAAAGATCGATTTACTACCGAAAAAGAGAAGAAAAAGACTTAATATGTTGGTTCAGAGAAAATAGGGTGAAGTTTTTTTAAAGGTTTTATGGTTATTACTGAATACTGTTATAACAGAAAACTTAAAATAAGGAAAGTAGCAAAAAATTTCAAAATTAATTCAGATTACTATCAGAAATATATTTTAACACCTATTTAAAGAAGAAATTCCATCTCTTTATCCAAACAATCTTCAGTTCCATCAGGATAGGGCTCCAAGCCATACCTCTAAATCTACTGCTCTATTTTTTGGGAAAATGAGAAATGAAATCGGAATTGAAGCTATTCCCTTTAAATGGATCCCATTCAACTCTCCTGATGTGCCTTTTTTAGATTGCTGTGCATTTGGACTTTTATAACAAGCTCTTTATAAGCAGGATCCCCAAACATTGGATGGACTTTGGAAGATTGTGAAGGAAGAGTGGAATAAAATTAACCTTGATATTTTAAGAAAAGGACTTTTATCTTTTAAATCAAGATATAATATGATAGTTCAACAGAAGGGCTGTCAGCTTGAACATATTAGAAAATAAAATTCTAAGGTTTATTTACATACAAATCTTTGCCAAAATCGTTACAAAAATGTGTGAACTCTGTATGTAGAGGTAATTTTGGTATTTTGATTCACAGAGTTTACATGCAGGTTTTGATTTGCAGTTAATTAATTGATGCGTTTCAGACAAACAATTAATGCAAAGTTTATGCCTTTGAGTAAAATCAAATCTTCGAGTAGGGTTTATTTTCAAAAATGAATCACATTTATACAAAGGATGAGGTGATTTCTTACAAAAATTACATTATGTATTCTTTGAATTTAGAACAGCATTTTTCACTTTGTTTTACCAAATGTGGAGGTTTCTTTCCACATTATGACACCCACTCTTTTGCAGATTGTTAAGAATTTGACATCTGTCTTGGAGAAATAAAATAAATTTATTCCAGTCTGGTAAATCTGATGGATGTTAATGTCATTTCATATTTATTATGAGTTACTTTATCCAATTATTGCAAAATAATATTTATTAACAAATTTTCGCTAAAATTATTCATTTCAACTTTTAAAGCTCTGACCTGTTTTTAAAATACAATCCATAAGCATTCTTGGTTATTCAGCCAATTCAAATGCAATATATTTTAAACACAGTACAGAATTCATGTGACTGTGTGCAATTAGCCTTTTATTTTCTTATTGAATTTTTAAAGGCAGTAAATAAAGAATCAAATCTATTATCAATATTTTCAATTTGTTTAAGATATAAAAAAGAATACAAATAAAAAATTTTTTGGCTATCAGGTAACAGTTCATTAGAAATAATTATATTATTAAGTTTTTAAATTATTCAAATTTTTATAATTCTCATCAATTTTAGGTAAATTTATATCTGGAAGAGTAAAATTTAACCTCTGATTATCCTCAAAATGTACAGTCTCTGAGCATGAGAAAATTTTTAATGTTCTAATTTGCTTTTCTAAAAAATGTTCAAATCTTACATTTTCTTTTTGAAACTGTTCATTGATTTCATGAAATACACATTCACAATCTGCAACTCATGTATCTTGTATTACTTTGTAATAATCAATTTTTAATTCATCGAGTTTCATCTTCCAAACAATTTAAATTTTATTACTTATAATTTGTTTTATCCATTTGTTGAGTATATCTTCAGAAATAAATTAAGTTTTTGTTAGTTGAGCCTTTATACCACCCTTACATCTGTTTAAAGCAGTTACATCCATATTTTAGTTTTTATTGTATCAATAGGCAATGAAGAATTACTCTGAAAAACTTGGCCACAAAATATTCTTTCAATACGAACAAAAACAAGATTATAATTCAAAGGTCTTTTATTAATTATTTTATTAAATGGACTTAAATAGAACAAAGGTTTACTTTTGTGTAATTTAAACATGTTGTTGTTATTTATTAAATCTCCTAGTGAATTTAGGAATATTTGAAAGAATCATGTTACATCGAACCAAATTTTTTTATGAAGATTGAAATGTTCTTTTGAAAGGTTTTTATGAAGACTGAAAAGTTCTGAAGACACCAAACCATGAATGGAATATATTGGGCAAACGTTTCTGTCATTATTTCAAGATTTTATCTTCACCTGTTTACTATAGTTCAGTCTCTTTGCTTGTGATTACTGTGATCTTCTATTTGCAGTTATGACCTCTTTGTGTACCTCATATCACGTGAGAGCTCTGTCACTGATAGCAAAATGCTGCATGTCCGTTGTAAATGCCCAGCTAGCAAAGCATTTTGAAATCTTTTCTTGGAAAGATGTACAGATTCAATTCCTGGATCTTTTTCATAATTTTGATTAAAAAAGGAAAAAAAAAAAAAAAAAAAACTAGTGAGGTCATTTAAAAACAATTCCTCCTTCTTGACCGTAGATATAGAAATGTTGATTATATCCCTATATATATACAGATCGCTCCATGGCAGATAATCATATTGGAGCATCATTTTTTATTGGAAAACATATAGAGGGAGGTGGTTGCATGAAACCTTCTTTAATGTTCACGTCAGAATTAACTATGTGTTTTGTTCTTTCATTCATTTCTAAATTATGATAGAGAAACTTGGTAATATATTGACTCATCCTTTGCACTAGAGGCTTCAAGAAAATTTTCGAAAATCTAGAATCCATTAGTTATGGTATTCTAAGACTAAATCTGAACTGAAGGAACCATGGATATGACATACTTAAACCTGGGTTTCCCGACATGTAGGAATAAAAGGCAAGGGGCTGGTTTTCCTTCATAAAGTTCATCCTTCTAAGGGGAAAAGCCATTCATTGCTATGTTTTAATAAATAACTTAGCCTAACTGAAGATTTGTGACATTTTATTGAGATTGTTTACTTAATTTTTTAAATTCAAATTGATCACAATATGAATGAATATAAATATATGAGCTTATTATATACACCCTAACAGTGATGAGGTTTTACTGTCATTAAGTCCAATCAATAAAAGTATTTTAAATTTTAAAATTATTACTTTAAGCATTCATATTCTGAGATATTTAAAAAAATGAACAAAATTATTTGCTTCTTAAAAAGGAGAGAGATGTGTTCATGTGTCTTTCATAATGCATTGACCCTTTCCATCTGAAATAAAAATCTGATTGCCTTCAGTTATCTATATATATATTTCATTGAGAATAATTCTCAAAACTGTAACATAACCAGTTTATTTTGTTCAAGATAGAAACCTAAAATTGAACTATACCTTCTGGGTCCTAACAACCCAGAAGTACCCAGAAGATTCAGCTTGAGCCATTAGCATTCGTGACTTTTTTTAAAGTCATCAAATCATGCTAAGAGGATAGGTAGAGGTGATTTCAGAATGATGATAAATGGGCAATTAAGATATTATAAAATGATCACTAACTCTGATGATTTTGTAAATTCTGATGGTTCTAGTCATAATAATGATATTATCATAGAACATTGTACAAAAATTTGCATATTGACACTAGATATATTATTCATTGTTAAGTTATTAAAAATGTTAATTTTTTCACAATTGGCCTTTTTATTTACTTTATTGTGGAATAAATTCTGCTTTAATTTTTTTTTGGCACAAAATGATATAAGAATTTATGCTAGTTCTTATGAATGTTATTTAATTTCATTAAATTTTTTTATCGCTTTTATTTTTATTTAGCTTTCAATGTCGTCTAATCAAAGTCAGTGGTCTCAGTCTAGGCATAAACATGTACCATCTGCAACTGGCCTTTCGTATAAAAGTAAAGATATTCAGTCTTCCACTAGTTCAAAGTTTAAGAATGATTTTGTTAACCTGAACCAAGATGTTAGTTCTGTTTCTCTGCAGTCAAAAATGAAGAGCTTGGATATGCCACAGTCTCCTTCAAAAATTGCTGTTAAAAAGTAAGGCAGTTATGTTTTTATACTTTTTTGTACTTTGATCAATATGCATATGACACAAATTTAAGGAAGAGTAATTGATAATATAAACATTCATTTTTGTAAGTCTAGCGATGGATTAAAAAATGTTTCAGTTTTTTATGTAAACTGTTGGGTTGTTAGGGTAGTGTAACTGTAAAAGTACTTCATGGTTTTTCTTGGTGTGGCACATGTTATCATGACAGCAACTCTGTAACACACTCGCTTAGTTCTTTTTACCTGAGTGAGTCATCGCTTGGGAAGATGGCTCGCATGTGATTAGAATAGTAAAATAAAATAGTAAACAGTCCACTCTTCATTAATTTTGAAGTATTTGTAAAGGTATACATGAACATTTTTTGGCTAACTGAGTTATAGAGGTATACAAAGATACAATCGCGAAACTTAACTATGTAGAATATTTGCAATGCTTTCATTTTGTTTGGATTACACGTTCAAGATTGGATACTGCCTCATTGTTCATTTTCGCTTTTTGTGATCAAGAAGTCTGCAATTATTTATTTCTTCATCATGAGTGAACTGAAAACAATTAAAGCTAATAAAAAGAGAGTATCAAAAAATTTGAAAACAAAGAAAATTTAATGGTTGAGGAAGCAAATATTTCCTTATTGGAGTTATAAGAATAAAAAATATTATAATTTTAAAAGGAAGCAAGTAACTATTTCAATTCTTTTTTTGCACATTGTGAAGAAAAAAACTGATGAATTCATTAAAGAAAAGGAAAACATAGTAGGTAGTTTTGATGAAATTTATTTGAAAATTAAAAGAAAAATTTTTATGATTAATTCTCAAAGGAATAGTTGTTCAAATGAAAATGGTTTGAGTAAAGGCAGGACTATTTTGGATATTAAGTTCCTTAAAGTGTCTTTTTCTCTATTTAGTAAGAAAAATCGAAGAATGAATTGAATTTGAGGATTTATTTTTGGCAACTGCCATTTTTAAAAAAAGATGGTAAATGAACTAATGCACAAAAACTGCAGTATCTGAAGAGAGCATATGAGGCAATGCTTTTATTATTCATTCCTTTCAAATTTCAGATTTCAATTATAACATAGTTATGGATTTTATTGGTTGAACACTATTCCAACCAAAAAGATTTGATCAATTCTATCATAAAGAAGGGTACTTTTCCGTTTTGCCGGCGCAAGCGATAAAGTCGCCAATAATGGTCAACCGATGTCAAACGGAATATTCTCGCTGGTAACCTTTTACGCCTCATTTTCAAAACAAGTCGCAGCTTTTTCTTATAAGATTGATTGTTTCTTTCAATACTGGCATAAAATTACATAGAATTTTTATCAGATAGTTCAAGTTTATGTCTAAGGCCATTTTCGGTAATTAAGTCAATTAGGATGCAATCACAGCTCTTACCCGAAGCCGAAAATGTAGAAAAGGAAGGTCAAGGGTTAAATTCGTCAATTCTAATGAGAATGCATTAGTGAAGTAAAGCACTGCAGTTTTACATAATTTCTGAGTAAGCTATTCGTACGCATTGAAATATTTCTTGCATTTAAACTTGTGTTCCAAATTAAGATTTAACTTGAAATTAATGTAGATAATTACTGAGAGCATTAGATTTTTGTAGAGTAGTTTACGTGAGATGAGATCGCTTGGGGTCACGTGATATGAACCGGCGAATGAGGATGTTGAACCATGAAAGCATACTAAATTTTTAAGTTGAAAGCATAGTAAATTCTTAAATTAATGTCTTTTTACAAATTTCTTGTCTTTATTTATTGTCTTTTTATAAAGTTTTAAGTGATATTAAAATGTTTATGCCTTCAAAAAAAGAATTCTTAGAACTAAAATTTTTTTAATATTTTTTATGTGTATACTGTATGTTGTCGCCAATAAAGTCTGCTTGGCGAGATTTGAGCCGGCGAAATGGAAAAGTACCTAAAGAAGTTAATTTCTATACCTCAAACATGTGATTCAGCTCCATTGCTTTTAAAATTTATTGATGAGGTACATGATTGTTTATATTCTTTGGAAGCATTAAAGCAAAAGGTAGAAGAATTTTCTGATATGTTAATTGTTTGTTTATTAGTTGAAAAGTTAGATAGAAATATTTGTTCTTGGTGGGGAAGATCATTTAAAAAAGGAGAGATAGGAGCAGTTAAACAACTGACATGTTTTTTGAAGGAATACGTTCACACTCTGTCGCATTACATATTCCGCAAAGGGAACCAAGATATTCAATTAATGTCAAAACTCTTATATCCCTTTTAGAAAATTCAAAAACTTGTGTTTATTCTTGAGGTGATAATTTGTTGTTGAAATGTGTATAATTCTTGAATTTAACAATCAAGAAATAATTTGACCTTATCAAGACTAAAAAATTCTGTTTCAATTTTTATCTTCATTCCGTACAGTTAAGGCCTGTAAAAGTTCTAATGTATGCAGAAAATGTCAGAAGTTCCACAATTTGTTCTTACATTTTGCTCGAAGTGAAGAAAATTTTGATAGCTCAAATAGCACATCAAATCAAAACATGAACAAGCCTAATACATTTAGCAGTAATCTCTCTCCAATCCTTCCCTTTATGATGCTGAAAGTAAAAGCTCTAAAAAGGGCCATGAATTTAGATTTAAAATAACTTGATTGTAATTCTGTTTTTTTCCCTCCCTTTGGGTACAGTATGGTTTGTAATATTCATCATTTAAGTGTCAAATTGAACAAGAAGTTATAAAGGGGTGTATTAAACATTCCACAAAATTAAGGTCATAGTAAAATCTGAATTTGAGTAATGATTATTTTGAAAAATATTCTATATAAATGTAAAACTTTATCAAAAATCATCCAATGAAAAGTTCTTCTGAATTCATATTATATTGTTTAAACTGTTTGGAAAAGAACACCATTTTTTTTTTTTTTTCTGCATATGAAAATGGTAAACTGTGTTGTTATGTATTTTTGAAATTTCTGTTTTCAAATACATGATTTTATTTTTTCTCAAAATAAAATTTGTAGTTTTTTTGGAACAAGAACATCTGTAAGTTATGATGCTGTCACTTTTGTAAAATTACTTTCATGTGATATTTAAAAAATATTCTGTTATCAAAAACCTAATTTCTCAACTTGTAGCTGTCTATATTTATTTTATTTGCTGTGGGATCTTTCTGTTTAAAATATGAGAGTTAATTGACTTTCAGGTAGTAAGTAATTTTAGTCTTTTTCAAAGGCTAATATTTTTCATTTCGTCTGAATATTAATTGGTTATATCAACATCTAAGTACTGTATATTCTGGCATACAATTCATATTGGTGTATAATCTACACCCATAATTTCAAACTGTATTTTTTAGTTTTTTGGTATATTGGAAACCTGAAAGATACATGTGCTATACTCTTATCTTTTGAAGTCATTCATTCGAAGATTTTCTCCAGGCTTTCGAATAGTGGCATACTGAACTGGCAAGCAGTAAGCGGAACAATATGTGTGTGTGTGTGTGTGTGGGAAATGCTTGAAAAAATATATAATTTTTCAAAGAAGGAGCTTTGTATTCAATGAAGGTGTGCACAAGAATGTTATTTTAGGGTTTAGAGAAAATGGGGACATTATTTGAAGTAAGAATGTACTTCCAACCCAAATGGGTTCTTGGAATTAAGAGTTAAATGTTTTCTCTTTCTGTAATCATTTGAAGCCATGATTTTGAAGTGAATGTCGTGGGCAAGGAAGGAAAAAGAGGCTAAATGCATCACACTAGTCTAGAAACAGTGTGTGACTGGATATTCAAAAGTAAAAAAAAAAAAAATTATATCAAACAGTATGGATGGAATGGAAGATAATTGTTTATTTATGGATCAGAGTAATGATAGTGGTGAAGATGAAACAGAATTCAATAATGTACCTGAGAATATAATGGAAGACAAATATGGCGAGTTTTTTCATGTCATGAAGGAAATGATGAGGAAATTTTTTAAGTTCATAAGGAATGTCAATTCCTTTAAACAAACAGATACATGCAGAAATGTAATTTTTTTTGTATGCTCATCTTTTCCTTAATTTAAATGTATTATTTTTATACTCAACGTATAAGACCTGTAAAATTTGATCTTATATTTTGTATTAAAAGTTAATTTTTTTAAGTTCATAAGGAATGTCAATTCCTTTAAACAAACATATACATGTAGAAATGTAATTTTTTTGTATGCTCATCTTTTCCTTAATTTACATGAATTATTTTTATACCCAATGTATAAGACCTGTAAAATTTGATCTTATATTTTGTATTAAAAGTACATGTTATACGCTAGACTATATGGTATGTAAAACAGATGACATTAGAATAGGACCAAAAAGACTATCACAAAGATTTCAAGTTAACAAGGAGTGCAAGATAACAGCGTAAAACACATGAAGGATATTTCGGGCAGCTTGTGTGCATTAGTGAGTTCTCAGTGAGCTTACTATGATTAGTATCCTCATAGTGAAAAGTTTGCAGTTTGATATCTTATTCTGTCTATATATTCGCTTTATGCAGCATGCCTATATTTTGCATTTTTAAGTGATTTTGAATAAATTAGTATATTTTTATAAAGTTCATGAATGAAAATTCTAGTACATGCTAAATAATTGTAAATTATAACATAGTAAATCAGTTACATAACTGACAAAGTTATGTATATGTATATATAAAAAATATACGTAAGATAAAAAATATGAAAGCAAACTTATAATTTAATTGGCTAAAACCTCTTTTATTTTTAATTTAATTTGGTCACTTCCTCTGTCTATCTTAAAAATAGTGCTATAAGTCTAAACTGTGTCATTCAAATTAATCATGCGATCTTACATAATGCTTAATGCAGATACCTCGAACTGAAACTTTCTGACTCCCTTTCTTTTTCCTCTGAATTGCTGCAACACTTTTGCTTTCTTCCTGGCAAGATGCTTTATGGCTACTATCTTTGTTTACTGCATATGTGCTGAGCTAACAAAATGTAGGGTGCATAAGATGCCCATCCGGATGTGAACCAAATTTTGCGAATCCAACATTATTTTCCTGAATAATAAAATTATCTTGAATCCAGCCAAGTCTGCCATGCCAAGTTTCTTCCCTATGCATCTGTTATGCCGTCACCAAGTTCCAAATCATTCATACCATTACATATATATTTATATCATAAGTTAGAAATTTTAAATTTCATAAATTATATATATGAGGAAATATAGCAGTTTTGTGGTATGGACGAATAACAAATGGTTATATAATGTGTAAGTCTAGTTGGAGGCCAAGTGACATAAAATAATGCCAGAATACTAGGACACAACAATAAAGATAATTTATTGTATTCTGAAAATCAGAAGGCTTTGAAAAGTGTGCTGAGTAAATAAAAGTGAAAAAAGTGCAGTTATCATTCGCAGGCATTCTGGTGTAAGACGTCAGCATGGGATATGGCCACCATGGAGGGCAGTGCAAGGTTCCACATGTCATTTCATGCTTTGAACAATAGTATCCAGCAATTGTTGGGATAATTTATCCCATTCCTCTGTTAGTGCATGAACGAGAGTGTCCTTGTTTATTGGAGGGCATTGTCGACCAGCAAGACTCCTCCCCAAAGCATCCCAAATGGATATATAAATAAATGGGATATAGATCTGGAGAACGTACTGACCATACAAGGCGTTGAATATCTTCTCTCTCTAGACATTTCTGACAGCAACTTATCGATGACATGTGGTGTTGTTGTCCATGAAAACGAACTTGAGGCAGCAGAAATCATTGGCCAGTCGTAGTCCCATTTGGAAGTACATACATTGACATACGGCTATTGATCATGATCCCAGGCCATACCATGACATTACATGTAGAATATTGGTCTTGTTCCTGTATGTTTACCATACTATATGCATTACCACTCTTACACCAGATCAACTAGATGATGTCCGGAAGACCTGCTGAAAATTGCAAGCTCTTCAGTTAATTCTTTTCTGCTAAATTTTGCTTGAACAACAACGGTCAATACGCATCAAATCCTTTACATCTCTTATTGGCGCTATCAATGTTGGAAATCCAAAATTTGTATATGCCCAACACATCTTATTATATCCTGCACTTATGCTAATTTCCATATTTTCATGCCTTCCATTTTGTGGTTGCTTTTACTGCTCCTGTTATCTATCCTTAGCAGCTGTCCACCAGTATATGATAGAATCATTTATTTTAACTTGCGTGTAAACAGTGAATCAATGTCATTTAACAAATAATAGATAAGCAATTATTGTCAGATTAACTATTTGTCTGATAACTAATTTGGCACATTTTGATATTTATCTTAAGTCATTTCATTGAAAGGAAAGTTCTTCTACATACATATATATGTATTGATATACTGTGAATATCTTGAAATGACCACATAGTTCCAGATAATGAGATAATTTTTATCTCCTATTTAGGTGATCATTTTAGTGTCTCAATATTCAGTACTGATGTTTATATTTTCAGATATATCAGTCACTTTCAGAAGTGGTCATCTGTACTGCGATCTTCACAAGAATGTTCACTGTATATCCACTTGATAATTATGAATATTTCAGCACTATTATAAATAAAGATTAATAAAAGATGTTTCTAAAGTTTTATATAATACATCTCAGGACAAAAACTTTTGATATTTTACACAATATTAAAACCAAAATTATTTTGTATTTTAAGCTTTGCAGTTGTATTATGTGAATAATGAGGAATGTGTTACTTAATTCTTAGATTTCTTAAAAATGAAACAAAACATAAAACATCAGTTTTGCTAGTATTCAAGACATTAGGCACATGTAATAAGTTATATTTATATATTAACATATTTTTCAGGTCACCAGATCTTAGCAATTTTAAGAAAAGTTGTAATTGCAAAGCGGAAACGGTGTCTGATAACTGCATATCAGAAAAAATTAAGAACGTCAAAAAGTTGCCTCAAGAAGTGCAGCCAAATGAAAAACCGCAGAAACAACCATCACACATTCCATGTGGTATTTATAATTATACTATTTATACTTTTTATCTTTTAAAAAATATGTAATTAAGTAAAACTGAGGATTATTTCATATTTTTGTTACATATTTTAAGTAATAATTTTGTGATAAAAGCTACAATTTTGGAGTGGTCATTATGATTTTATTAATGTAAGAAAAAATAGCCACAACATGTTTCAGAGGTGCTATATATGTTTTGAACTACGTAAAATGTCTTTCTTAATGGACAGTATACAAATTCAATTTTATATTAGCATACTTCTCTTCCATTCCATGTTATCATAAATAGTAATTTAAGATTAATTTTTAATTTTTCATATTTTAACATTCTAGCGGTTAATGTAAATGGACAGGATGATTCTCTGCCAGATATTATGCATATACCATATAAAGATATATGCAGAGCTACTGATAATTTTGACAAGGCTCGTGTTTTGGGAAGAGGTGGCTTTGGAACTGTTTACAAAGGAGAATGGAAAGGCACATCTGTGGCTATTAAAAGACTCACACCTGTAAGTATATATTTTCCAAATTAAAGCCACAGAGTTTTCCTTGAAACTTTCTATTTCTTTCAATTCCCTTATATTAGAAATGTAATTATTCATTTGTCAAGTTACTTTAGATTCTTACTGAATAACATAGCCATGAAATAGCCATGAAAATGGTTATATTGATGAGTATTATATTGAAACTTGATTGCATTAACCTTCCTTAATTCACTTTGAAATGAATAGTACAGTCAATTCTGATCCTGTCAAAAAAATATCGAAATGTATTGTATTCCAAAAACATGAGTTGTTTGTGATAAATAATAATATTGTAGAACTCCAATAATCAGCGACCATTTAATTCATGAGTGACTATCATTTGTGGTGTTTCGAATGTAAACAAACAAAATTTCAATTTTGGGAAAATTCTGCATGGCAAATTTAATAGCAATTTTTCTTGTATGTATCTGAAAATAATTTTTTAATAAATATGTATTATAACATATTTTAATATAAAGAACTTATTTCTCCATAGCTTATTAGATGTTCCATTAAAATTTTAATGCACTCTGTAGGTGGTACCTTTATATTTTATACAGTGAACAAGCAAGTTTATTTCGGTGGTAAATAGAGCTATTCTTGAAAACCGCATTTCCAAAACAAAAAGGAAGGGTGACTCATAATTACAAAAGTTATTCATTACATTCGTACATATTTTATGGTATTTATCTGGGAAAATCGATCAAAACAACTTACGAATGCTTCTCCCCTCTTATTTTGATGGAAATATCCTGATGATTGCTTTAAGAATATTCAAAACAATTGCCCCATTTAGCTTTTGCTGTAAGCTGCTGTATCCTTGCAGACATTTTGCTGTAGGTTCTTCCATCATGGGCAACTTCTACAAGCGCATTTGTTAAAAATGATTTTGAGAAAAAGAAATATCATTATATTGTTCTAAAAACTGTTGGAACTTGGGATGCTACGAAAAGAATGACAATGAAAGAAACAGAAAAGAGAACAGATTGCCTTAAGAATTGTTATGGTATAGTAGACAGAGTTCTGTGCATTCTGACAATTTGGAGACTTCTTTTAAAGTGGTTGTACTAATACGTAAGCACTGATTTATTTATTTATTTAATGTAAAAAATGGGAAACATGGTAGGGAAAAGGGGAGCTAAAGAACAGAGAATGTTTCTTTAAATAAATCCAAAATTACAGTTTTAGCACTTTTTGTAGTGTTTTTAATCCAGTTGTGCATGTGCAGAATGTACTTGCAGAGTTAATGTTGGAATGAAATTTAGGGAAATCCATTAGAGGTTTTTTGTAAATAGTATAGTTATTTATATTTTTTCTCTCACCTAAAAGAGAATAAATATTACTTTGTAAATTTTGGTTTGTGGGGAAATACTATCAGTCAGTCAATACATATATATGCACACACACAATCAATCAGTCAATACATATATATGCACATGCACATTCAATCAGTCATATATATGCACACACACAATCAATCAATGAATCAATCGATTGTTATATATATATATATAATTTTTTTAAAGGAAAAGAAAAAAGTTGGAGCTTAAATGCAAGTTTACAATTTCTTTCCTATGAAGGTCTAACCATTTTGTATCTTGAAGAAAGTCATGCTCAAAGGTAATACAAGTAAAAATTACAATATTGAAAGCATTACATAATAAAATAAGAAAATAAAAAGAAAAATTGATATCCTTAGTCCAATGCTTCAAAAAAACTTGTCCAGGAAAAAGGGTTATGATGCCCAAAATAAAGCTGGACATTGAGGTTTGAATACAAGTTTCATTCATCTAAGACATTTTTCAAGACTGTAAATTTTGAAATAAATCTTCAATTTAAAGTAACTTTCAGTGGCTCTCAAATGCTCAGATCTTTTTTGTTCTTGCATTTGCAACCCTTTAGACAGCAAAATTACAATATTTAAGAAGAAACATAAAAAATACAAATTAAGATTCAAAATACAAAAAAGGATTCAAATTATAATCGCTAAAAAAATTCTTTTTAGGCAGTAATCTAAAAAACTAAAAAGTTTAAAATGTCTAAAAAGGCGAAACAAACAAATTACAATCATATACAATTAGGGGAAACCCTGAATTAAACAAGCAACAAATTAAACTAGTCAGTATTTAAAAACTAAAAAAGGCACGACTCAAATGCATGTTAAATTAGCATTAGTCGAAATTGAAAAAAAAAAAACAGATAAATTTTCAAACTAAAAGCTGCTGAGATTGCTCTAATTTATATCAAAAGCTTATAAAGATACAAAAGAAACTACTAAGATTTACAAAGAATTAAAAAAAAAAAAAAAAAAACTAAAGGAAAACCTCCCATTACTTAACGATATCAAATTCAGAAGGTTGCTTAGAATAAACAAAGAATTTTATAAAAATTATTATAATTAACTTGCTAAAATTCTCGAAAACAGGAGAAATATTGCAGTTTCTTTAAGATTAAGTTTCAAAAAAGCTGAAAAAAATTCTTTTAAAAGAAATAAATCTAGTTCAAACTGTCAAGAACAATTTAATTTGCAACTAAAGGCTAACAAAAATTGAAAAGCGTTCATGAAAATGAAAAAAAGGAAACATGCAAACATACCCTTATCATCTTCGAACAACTGGGAATAAAATGGAAGAAAAAATGTCTGCCTAATAGGTGAGATGGAAATAAGGTCAAGTTGGGTAAGATTTCCCAAATAGGAAAAAAAGGGGGCAAAACAGAAAAGACTTGAAGGTCACAAACAAAACGAGTTCCCATGCTTAATGGGAATGTTTCCAGTGGTGACGAAATGAAAGGGGCTAGGGGCAGGAATGAGCGAAAAGAAGGCTACTGGATAACCATCGTGGCATCGTTTCTTGCTAGAAGGGTGCTAAAGAGAGTGATCCAAGATGGTGAAGCCTCTAAGTTTTAAAAACTGCAAAAAATTGGCCCAAAAGTCTCAGAAATTTGAGAAGAGTGGCTAAAAAGGTCGTAATTCTTCATGCAGTCGAGCTATAGTGCGTCTTACAGAAATAATGAAATAGGCTGCTTTATTTAATAATCCAGTTGTAATTTCATGGTCTTGAAACTTAAAATTATTGAGAATGTGCAGAATTTTTTTAAGGCTTTTAGCAAAAAGTGTGTCAATTGCTTTAAAAACGTTAGTGCCATTAGCAATAAATCTGAACTTGATCAGTGTCTTATGAAATTTTGGAAGTGCATAAAGATTTGCAAATTGATTATAGTAGATTTTACTAGAAATTTTCAGTTGTCAATGTAATGCTTTAAACCTCTTTTAGAAAACTTGAGCATTGGTATTAATTTTCTGATAAATGGTAGTACATTGTAGTTCTTGCTTGATTAAATTGTAGTAGAAAGTTTTTCAGATAATGCTGAAGTTGTTGTTAGCTTTGGTAACTTTTGTAATGATGAATTTGTTACGAAGTTACTTGATTTTAACTTGTGAATGTAAAGAAAATTAGGAGAGATGTTAATTGTTCAAATAAATTCTTGAAGTAAAGCATCTTTCCATTCAAGAAAAGAAGGGGAGGGAAAATTAATCTGATAACTCGTCTTAACGACGAAAGCATTCAAATCATTATTGAATTGCTTAATGCAAAATTTTTGCTCATATGAAAATTGGGCCAAAATTTGGTGCCTATCCTCATAAACTACCTTAAATTAAAGTCCTCTACAATTTCCAGATCTCCTGTAATGATATGATGGTGAAAAGAATCCACAAAATTTTTTAATCTTGGTCATTGGCATTCTCAGGAACTGGGATTGTTCATGTCATGATGATTGGTAGTAGTACCAAGCATCTTATTAAATTTAAAGCTAGATATTGCTTTGTAGTGTTTAACAGGGAGCAGATAATGGCGTCTGTTAAAAATTTTATGGATTTTAATTCTATCATTAGAATGGGTGCTTGAATTGAACGGTGCGAAAAAAATTTTTTTTAGAAATTTACTAATGTTTAACTTAAAATAGCAAAAATCTGTGATCAATTCGTTAATAATTTGGTGTCCAGTATATTATACTTTGAAAAAGTTGAGAATTTCCCATAAAGTTATATTTTTGGAAGTGCATCAAACAATATATTTGGTGAAAAACTTTTCATGAAGGAATTTTTCAAAATTTTTCCACAGTAAGAAAGTATTATATATTTTATATAGTAAGAAATTTAGAACTTATGTTCCATAAAGACCAAAAATTTTTAAATTCATAATTAATGAATTTCAAATAATCCTATAAATGCAACAAAGAATTGAATAAATGTAAAAACCAAAACTTTTAAACAAACAATACTCCAAATCAAAAAATTTATGAATGAAATTTAAAGAAAAAAGAACAAAACAGAAGAAGAATTGAATCAACTTCAGTGCCACTTCATCAGGGAAAAGGAACACTGAAATCAATTGATATCTCTCTTCTATAAAAATCCTTGCTTTTCTGTATCCAGAATTAGCTGATGAACCATTTCAATGTGTTTTAATAATAATAATTCACCTGAAAACTCTGGCTCTTCCCCAAAGCAAGGAAAAAAATAAAATTCTAATTAAAACCTTGTATCTAAAATAAATAGAATTTTATTTTGTTTAAAAAACTGAAACTGAAAGTGAAAAATTAAAATACTTCAGTGAAAAAAATAAATCAAAATTTTACTTTTATATGTCATATAACCATATATCAAACATATATCAAATAATCCAAAGAATAAATGAAATTATAAAACTGAGGTGAAAAAACTTAATTAAAACTCACAATAAGTAATTATAAACCTTGAGCACTTTCATTAATCTTGAATAGAATCTAGGAATATCACAACTGTAATTATATATATAACACACAATCACTATGATTGTTACTTTTATAGAAAAGATTCTTCCTCAAAAAATTTACGTATTTTATGCCTCTATTATATTTTTTTGAGCATAATATACTGACATTATTTTTTGTGTGATTATATTTAAAGACTGTAATGATTTTATATTCTGTAGAACTTGATTTAAAAAATGTTGATTTTCCCCACCTTGTGAATCGGTTCTGTTCCAAACAACCATTTGTACCATGGATTTGTTCATAAAAATGTTACAGTACAAAGTCCGTAATCCAGACTTGTCGGGACTTCGGTGATTCCGCATCATAAATCATCAATTTAAATCTGGTAAGATGGCATGCAGAAATGATACAATTAAAAATATGAAATCTTAATTTATGAAATAAAGAACAATTATGATCTAAAGGGTATCAAAATTTACAAAAAAAAAAAAGCTTAATATTTATTTGTTTACTTTATTAAACATTTCTTTCAATGTAAGTTGTTTAAGATGCTTCCACAAAAAATTCAAAAAGTTCCTTTTTCTTGTGTCATATGTAGTGCACTTTCCAGTGCCATACTTCTTGCATAATTTTGAGACGGATAGGCCTTTATCCATTTTTTGCAGTAATTCCATTTTTTGTTTAATGGACATCAAAACATGCTTTCACTTTGTAGATCCTTTGGCAGCTCCAGAATTAGAAACTCTTTTTGACATAATCGAAAGTTCAAGCTTAATTTTTATAAAATTGTTGTAACAGTCTGCAAAAAATAATAAGCCGTATTCAATTAGAAGATTAAGGAACAGCGCAATCTGCAACATTCACTGAAATGACTTAGATAATTTTAGCCTAGCTTATACTATCCATTATACATTAAACGTAAATGCATTATGCGCATGCATAAACGTATCCGCATAAAGTTTGTAGTTTTGAGGTCCGGATTATAGATCATTCTGGATTATGGACATCCGGATTACAGACTTTGTATTGTACTAGGTTTGTTCTGCATATCTCTTAATGATGTATGTGAGATAAGAGGTATATAAAAAATAATCAAAAATGCTTAACAAATAAATAATGCAATTTAAATATAGTACATTATAAATAAAGAATTAACTATATGGAACATACCTTGAATTGTTGTGGATGAGCTGAAGATTGATTGAAGAAATGATCTTTACATGGGTGCAGATGAATCAGTGTCTTTACTTGTCCTCTGAAGATTCAATGACAAGTAAAGGAAGCATTTTTGATGAGGAGACTATGCAAGAGCTGGAAATGGTTGGCATGTTAGATGAACAGCAACACTGATTTTTGAAGTGTCTTTTTTAAGAAAATAAGTATCTAAACTTGTCTGAAAAGGCCTTTTTCTTTGTAAAAAGACAATAGCACTATATGGCATCATGCAGAGTCGTTTATTTGTTTATTTTTGAACAAATTTCAGTCTTTGAAAACAGGTTTATTCCTATCTGAAGAACTTCATACAGGGAAGAGCATTTGCATAATTATTTTATATTTAATAAAACTTGGTTTAAGAATATAAGGATTTTATATTCGGTTGAGCATGTTTAAATAATTTTTAATGTTTTATTTAGTTATTTATGTATAAATAATCCAGTTTTAATATAAAAATTAGAAAGAAAAAGCGTAAACAAAACTTTAAGATATAACCAATAATCTGCACAACCTTTAGTCCCAATATGTATGAATTATTGGAAAATTATTGCATTATAACAGGTATCTTGTAATGAATGTGAAAAAGGAAAGGGTTAAATTGTAGATTTTTAAATTTTAGTAAAAAAGCGTCTTCATATACAGTCAAAAGTCGTTAATCCGGATTCGTCGGCACTTCGGGATTATCGATTTTTCCGGATTATAGATCATCAGTTTAAATCTGGTAAGATGGCATGCAGAAATTACAAAATTAAAAATATGAAACCGTAATTTATGAAATAAAGAACAATTATGATCTAAAGGGTATCAAAATTTACAAAAAAAAAGCTTAATATTTATTTGTTTACTTATTAAACATTTCTTTCAATGTAAGTTGTTTAAGTTGCTTCGTTTCATGTGATATACTTTCTCTTTAATTCTATTAACCAGACAAAATTTCTTGTTTAGTTACAAAGTTCCGCTGTTCAATCCTTAACTGCTGTGTCGAAATACCGACTAATTGTCAATCGAAATATTTTCGTTTTCAATAACCTCTGTTACTTTCTTGACTATCGGAAGCGAATTATAATGACGAGGACTTGTTTTAAATCATATCAAAGACGGAGTGCATCAAGATGAAATACTACATTTAGTTAGCAATTATAGCCAAATAAAATAAAAACATCTGCCTTGAAGATAAGGATAGTGATGAGAGATCAACTTCCAAATCATTGTGCGCCGAGGCATTCCCCCCGCCGAACTGCGTGAAATTGATAAACAGATTTCGGATTTCGAAACATACATTCGCTTTAGATCCTTTACATATTAGCAAATATATATCGGAAATTCTATTGATATAATCGAAAGTTTAAGCTTACTTTTATAAAATTGCTCTAACAGTCTGCAAAAAATAATAAACCGGATCCAATTCGAAGATTAAGGAACAACGCAATCTGCAACATTAACTGAATTAAATAATTTTAGCTTAGCTTACACCGTCCGTTATACATTAAACGCACATGCGTAAACATTTTATGAGCATGCGCACAAGCATATTCTCAGCCGTAAAGGTCCTACGCGCGCACGTAAACGCCTATGCGCATGCGTCAAAGCAACGCATGCGCAGAAAGTTTGTAGCTTTGAGGTCCGGATTATGGGTGTCCGAATTAATGACTTTTGACTGTATTAATCAAAAACAAGTATCTATGTTGCAATCAATCCTTTCACAGGCAGGTGCTAGTTTTTTAAGTCCCAACTTAATATTTATAGGAATTATTTTGAAGAGTAGGCTAAAGTTTCATGTACAAAATGTGATTCTGATTTATAAAGCGAAGCTATATAATTAGTTTCTGATTATTATATTTTAAACCTTGCTCAGTACTTCAGAATTATTATTTATTTTTCACAAAATCATCTTTGAAAGAATGCTTTTATTTTTTATAGTTAATATTTTAATGGATGTGTATTTTTTCATGTTTCAAGAGGGAAAGCTCTCATAGCCCTTCTCAGCAGTTAACAAGCATCAAGCAATCCCTGAATGAACTTAATATTCTTAAATGGTAAGGAGAAAAGTTTTAAAAAACATTGTAATGAAAAAGGTCTTTGTAATTTTCTTCTCATTTCTGGTCTGAAGTGGTAGCACATACTATTTGGAAACTTCAGCTTATCTTAAGTACTTGATCAAACATCGATATCCTATTGTGATGTCACCTTTTTTATTATGATGTGCCAGTCTTTCACAGCTGCAATATTATCATCATGATGGTTGAATCTAAGCAAAGAAACTATTCTGCTCTAGTGACAGTGATCTTTATCCTTTCAGTAGAGTAGTGCACTTATGACACATAAATGTATCACCATATTGATTTCTCATCTAATTATGAACCTGTATTAGTTTCTTTCAGTTGCTAAATACAATCTCATAGTACTTCTCTGTTCTTTCTTGGTGCAGTATTTTAACAGCACTGCCATCTTATTGAACTGTTTTCTGTATTCCTATGCATACAACTATCATCATAACCCCATCGTTTGAGAGCCTAAGGTCATTATGTTGTTAACCTTGTAAAGCAATTTTAAATACAATTTTTTGACTTTCTACTGAACAGCCTAATACAAGGGTTGGAATTTAATTAGTAGCATCTATTTATTTACAACTGACTTAGAAGAGATGCTTCTGTGAAATTGTTCAGTGTAACCCTATTATTGTATCCAATATATGGCCAGCTGTGTGAAAATCATAGTGTAAATGTAGCATAGCCAAGCTGAATTATCTTAACCTACTGTAGACATTTGTAGAATGTTATGTGAAGACTCAGCCAATGTTTAACTAGTTAACATTTGTATTTAAATTTGTTTTAAATCAATGTATGGTATATCACTAAGTTTATTCATGCAGTAGTGTTTACATTAAACCTTAATTTTATTTTCATCATGTTTAAAAGTACTTTGATAAATTAAAGCTTTTATCCCTTACTCAGGATTTTCTCAGCGTAAAAGTGGAAGGAAATTACAAAATTAAATTTATCAAAGAACATAAAATTTAGGGCATCAAATTAAGTATTAACATCATATAGCATCAGAATCATAACTTAAATTCTTGAATAACCTGATTCCTGTGATATAAGAGAATTCAAGTCAGTTTGGAATTCTTTTGAAGTGGTATTATTGTGCAGCTTGAAAACTTCATGGAAACTTTCAGTTTTTCATATTTCAAGGTTGGCAGCTGTTATGTAACTCTGCCTATTTTGTTGGCTGTTATGTAATTCTGCCTAAACATGGTCACTGTGTTGAGAATGAAACCGTGATATTCACATCATTTAAGCTAGTAAAACCATTGTTTTAGCATTTTGTAATCCAGAGTAAAGTTGTTGTATGAGCAGATTTAAATGGCTGGCAAAGAATTATTTCAGAATCATAAATGTAATGTACTAACAGTCTAAGTAATATGATTAGATACTGCTTGTGCTTTTGTGTATTCTGCTCTGATAAAGTTTTGAAGGTAGGAGGCAGTGATGCCAGTGTAAGTGATTATCTTTTAGAAACAGGAATTTTTATCATATACGTATGAGACTAGTTGGTAGCTTTTTTTCCTGAAGAAACATTGATCTAGAAGCTTGTCATTATTAATCATGAAATCATTGTTATTTATTATTATTTTTTATTGTGGATTTTTAATTTTAATTTTAGCAGGCTTATTATTTGCTTTATTTTTATAATTTTAATTTCATGAGACTAATTTTTTAACACATAATAAGCTTGCATACACTGAAGTAATTTTTTTAAAATCTTACTTTTTATTCTTTTGCATATTTTGTATAGATAAAACATTTTAAAAAATTTTACTGGTTTATTTTATTTATTATTATTATTATTATTATTATTTTGTTGCTTTTCTTCCCTGGCTAGAAATTGTTTTACATTTTGAAATTTTGATATTCTTCAGTTGCCGTTTTGATCATATTTTACCTTTGTATGCTGTGTCTTTGGATGGTGCAAATCCTTGTTTAGTGTACCAACTTATGGTTAATGGCTCTTTAGAAGATAGGCTGTTATGTAAGGTTAGTAAGTCAAAGTAAATGAGAAATACAGCTTTAAATTTTGTTTTCAATTAATCATTGATTAATGATACAGTGATTTGTATTATTTATTTAAGTAATCCTTTTAAATAAACTTATTTCTTTGAAATACAATTCATGTTTTATTTTATGTTTTGTTTATTCTTATTTATTATTTTATGTTCACGAGTGAGGAATCTTTTACATTTCTTAGAGGAAAAGGGTTCTACATGATCTCAAGTTCTGCTTACTGATAAATATTTAGCTATAGCAACCTTACTTAGGAAAGCATGAGGCATATTAGAAAGAATAGCAGAGATTTCTGTGATGTATGACCAAATATGAAAAATAATAGCATACACATTTATAGGAAATATTGTACAAATAATTTCATAAATAAGTATTTGATATATACTGTTACTATTAAATGATTTAAAATTAAAGAGCATCAGAAATTTTTTATGGGAAGTAAGAACAACCAACTTTTTATTGCTATATGGGTTCTGATAGATGATTGTCTAAATGTTGACATGCACTCTATCCTCCCTTAAAGTAAAATAACTTCAGTTTACAGTAAGTCTTTAACTCTCCTTTTTAATTTGGTTATTCTCCCTTTTTATCCTAAAAATAGTAACTGCAAGATCTGATAATTCATTTGATGATAATTTCATAATTTTCATGACTCCACTGAAGATTAAACACTCTGGTATTTGTTGAGTGCATAAATGAATGCCAATCTGACCATACCCCGATCATGGCTGAAATCGATGTTAGTAACTATAATTCACCACACAAAAGAGCCCTCGTTACTAACTGAGCAGGTTATGTCAAAGCTTTAAGCAACGTATAGTACACTGTGCAAACAATTTACACAAGGAATGAGTTAAGTGATTTGAGCATTGAGTTTACTAACAAATTTCACAGTGTACTCATTAACAACAACAAAGAGGTCCCCCATTCAGAAAGAGGTTGAAATGCAATTCTACAGGCCTTAATTAAAGACGAAATGGTGCACATAAAACCTGGCAATTCACAAGATGCCCTGTTGATACAAAAGTACTGAACAAACTTAATCAAGAAGTCAGGATCCTTATAAAAAATTAAACATAACTGGACCAGTGCTTAGAATCACTCTCTCATGATGATAATTCCACTTGGGAAGCTGTTAAGTACAAAAGATGTCACATTAATATTCTACCCTTAATGACCCCAATGGGATCACATACACCGAAACTGAAAACGTTCAGTCACTCGCCGATAACTATGCATATCAGTTTTGCATTAGCAACATATCTCAGTCCCAAACAAAACTTAATCCCGCTACACTTTTACCACAGTCCTCTACAAAGCAAGCACAAACAACATCCTGACTTCTGAGCAGTGGCAACCCATGAGTTATTTAAATGAAGGTTCACAAAGCAAATTTCAGAAATTAAATATACAGATACAACACAATTTACAAGTTGAAATATATTTGCATTTTCACAAGAAAAGCAATGCAACTAAGAAGGAAAAACTTCTCATAAGTAAGAAAATTATAGTATTTATTTCATACAGTGCAGTGTAATAAATTCCAATATTGCTTATATTGTATCTTTGAAAGTTGATTACCAAATGATCAAGTGCAATCCACTCGTCTGCATTATTATTATTAGTAGTTTTGGCCAACAAATCAATAGCATTTTCATTGAATTTAGGTATGTAATTTTTCATGCTTTTTTCAGTTGAGAGCATAGTTAGAGTGCTTAGTCTGTCCTCGCTCGTAGTGCTTCTTAAAAGTGGCTTGACTCATTTTAGAGTTGAGAAGCATCTCTCAGGTTCAGCAGTTGTCATTGGAAAAGTAATAATAATTAGGAACATTTTATAGGTCTCCGAAAACATACCCCGTGAGTTGTTTTCTATAATAAATTATAGAAGACTAATGGCACCAGTCATATTCTGAAATCTGATCTTTTTTAAATTACTCTTAGTTCACTTTTCAGACAATTCTTCTATAGCATGGAATAAACATCAGTTGTTTGGTCAAGAATCTGAAGAACCTTTTTCCTTTCTTTTCCGATGATTGCTGGAAATTGTTAATGAATATTTCATCTGTTAGTGTTATCTAAAGCTGGTTGTGTAACACATTGGCATGTGGCACAATACTGTGAAACACTGTAAGCCAAAATGCAAATTTCATGTCTTCTAACATACGGTGAATAGCTCTGCTTCATTTTGTCATGCTCTTGAAATTTTGCAGTCGGCAGGAGAGAAACAGCAGAGTCAAAAATCAAACAAAATCTGTTTTTTATTTGATTCATGATAACATCATATGTATCTTTAGCTGATACAGTTTTGTTTATATGACCATTTTGTCCCTTTCTTTTTTTGAAAGTTTCACATGATACCAATAGTTTTTTTCTCTTTCTTTCTTCTCTAATGATTGCTGGAAATTGTTTACTTGTTTTCTAATGAGTGTTGCATCCAATAGTATTATCTGAAGCTAGTTGTATAACTCATTGACATGTGTCACAATACTGTGAAACACAGTAAGCCAAAACACAAATTCCAACTCTTCTAAAATACGGTGGATAGCCCCTGCTTTATTTATTGCTATAGTTTGTTTAGATGTTGACTCTTATTTTTTCCATGCATTCAACCAACTGTGCTCTATATTCATGCATTGTATTGATAGTTTGACTCTCCATGTAGTAGCTGAATCATGAGGTATCTTTTTTCTAACATTTTCATCTGAAATAGCAAATCTCTGTAAAGAATTATTGAAAAATAGAGCAATATTACTCAAGTTGCGAAAAAATACTCGAACTTGCTGCTTTTGAATCATTGCTTGCTCGACAATCAAACTGAGGTAATGTGCATAGCAGTGGACAAATTGTGCATTGTGTTACAATGTACCGACTTTATAACGGAACTATTGAAATTCAATTTGAACGTTCGACCTCCTGAACAATCTGACTGTAAAAGAAGAACAGTTTGTGTATTTTTCCTGTACAATTTGCACAGAATGACATGCAACTTTTATTAAACATGTTCCCGAGCAGTGTGCGGAGAACATAATGCTAATATGTGTAATGACTGCTTTGAGAATAAATAAATGATACTTTCTCACTAATTTGAAGTTCGAGATTCATGAAATCATATGCAGATAGTGTATTTTTATTTTAATTGGCTTTTAAAATAGGTTTTAAACATGCTTATGCACACTTTGTTTCGGAGGTGAATGGTTACCATTCCCATAAGTTTTTCAAAGTGTAGCATTTTAGGGTTAATTACCTATTATTCATACCTTCCACAGCACTTAACATGTGCCATTTCTGCATACCTATTCCTTTACAAAATCTTCTTTTTTTAGTCTCCTTCACGTGCCTTTACAATTTTGCCTGATGTTTTAGAATCTTCTGTATTATTAAAAATAAATAAATAAATATATATTTATTGAATTGGTAATTTGTCTACTCTACAATGTATCACAATTTTTTATACTGTGTAATGAGCATCATGTAATAATAATTATGAATTAGTGTGAGCATCATGTAATAATAATTATGAATTAGTGAGATTAAATGCCATAGTATGATTAAATTATATGAACATGTGATAAAATGCCAAATATGATTACATAATTCTTGCTGAATTGGTAAATATACTATAATTATTATTCAACCAGTAATATAATTACGATCTTTGCTATGCTGATTGAGCTTGTAAAATGTATTCATGATGAAATTTCCTGTCAAATTATGTAATTTAATTAATTTTTTTTATTAATTTTATTTATTTATTATTGAAAAAAAATTTTTTAGAACAAAACTGCACCCTTAACATGGTCTCAGAGGAGTCACATAGCAGAATGCATAACTAAAGGCTTGAATTATTTGCATACTACTCCAGGAAAACCTCTTGTTCATGGTGATATAAAAAGGTATGTTAAATTTAAGTTGGACATTTGGAATTTTATATGCAATTCTCTTTGCAACATGATTACTTTTATCTGGTTGTGAGATTAAGTATCATTTATCATCCAGTGAGAAAGGATTACTTTCCTATCCAGTGAATCAATCATATCATTCACAATTTTATCATATGTACACCATAGACTCAGTTTAGTAATTAAGTCACTGAATACTAATAGTTTGACCCAGCAGAGTTTTTGTTGTTTTTTCCCATGTGTAACATTAATACAAATCTGTTTTCCTTAAAAAGTTCTTCACGAAGGCATCCCTTTTCTTTAAGGTGATAGTCCTAGAGTTGCTTTGCTGTAATTAGTTAATCTAACCTAATTTTATTTATACTATGAAAGCTTCATGCATATGAATGGTACTATTAAAAAGTTCAAAGTTTTGATTTTTAGCCACTTTTTCCCTTTCCTTGAGAGATGATAGCAGGATTCCCAGTAAAGAAGAATGAAGATTTTAGTTCTGGAGAACGATTTCCAGAATGAAGGTTTGGTTTGAACATTCATTGCTAAAAGTGGCACTTTGAAAATGTTATATCAGAAAATATTTTGATTGTGTTTATTGGTGCATTTAGATAGAAAACATGTATAGAGCATGATTCTTTTAGTTTTGGGTAAAATTTTATAATTTTCATTTATTTTAAATGAAATTGTAATCATGAGATTTTATTTGGTGTTACTGGGTTCTGGCAACTGTACTCTAACTTAGTACTTTTATCACTTCCTCTTTTTTTTTTTTTTTTTTCTTTCAAGTATGGAAAAGAAAAAAGATTCTGTAAGTGATAATCAAAATTTAAAATAATTTTTGAGTTTCATATATGCCACTACCTGTAAAATAATTAATTAAATAATATTTTTTCTCTTATTGTTACTTAAAATAATATGACATTTTATGAGTAAAATTGTAGTGAAATAATAATTTTGCTTAATAATATTCCAACATTGATAAAAAAAAATTTCATTGCTTTTATAATATATATTTTTTTGAAATTGATATTGGGGGGAAATATTTTGGAGGTTCTGTGAACCAGCAAGCCTTGAAGACACCTTAAATCATATTAGACTAAATTGTAAATTGCCAATGTAAATATAAATTACATCAATTTGTTGATTGATTTTTATAAAGATTTTGACATTAGACATCGGAATTATGTAGCTGTAAATTGTTATCCATATTGTTTATATATTCATTATTATCCATTTCCTTACTATCCAATTGTTGTTGGGCCCACCAGTGGCCGAGTGGTAAAGTTGCTGAACACTGGTAGTTCGGTCCGAGGTTCGAATCCCGCGAACGGGCTGGCTGCATGGGCGTTTTCGTGGTTTTCCCCATGTGTAACGTGTATACGAGCCAGTTTTCCTTAGAAAGTCCTCCACGAAAGCATTCCTCCCTTAGGCAGATAGCCCTCGAGGCTTTGCCATAATCACACACACTCACAGTCACCCAATTGTTGTTAACCATATGTTGCATATTGTTTAAACATTCACAGCTGCTCTCGTGCTATCATGTGATATATGTCATTGATGCATGATTATAGCTAATCATGCATCAATGACAGTTAAGTTATATGTTTCCACATCAATTGGCTTTTTGTGAAGTTTTCAGATACTTGCTTTGGAAGTAAACATGACAAAGATGATAATACTGCACAGTTAGCCTCCGATTTCATTAACTTCTAAATTTAATCCCTCCCTTAAAAAAATCTGGTGTACTACATTACGAGGTGTATAAAAATTCAGGATGCATCCCTGATTCTAGTGTAAAGGAAGACAAACAGACGTTATGTATATTTACTATAAATTACATTGTATGGTACTTTTCCGTTTCGCCGGCGCAAATCTCGCCAAGTAGACTTTATATGTGAAAACACACAGTATAAAGTGCTGACAAATGTTAGTTCTAAGAATTTTTTATTTTGAAGGTATAAAAATTTTAATGTCGCTTAAAATTTTGTAAAAAAAAGCCAATAAATAAAGACAATAAATTTGTAAAAAGACATTAATTTAAAAATTTAGTATGCTTTCATCGTACAGCATCATGATTTGCCGGTTCATATCACTTGACCCCAAGTGATCTCATCTCACGTAAACTACACTACAAAAATCTAACTCTCTCAGTAATTATCTACATTAATTTCAAGTTAAATCTGAATTTGGAATACAAGTTTAAATGCAAGAGTTATTTCAATTTGTACGAATAACTTAGTCAGAAATTAAAACCGCAGTGCTTTACTTCGCTAGTGCATTCTCATTAGAATTGATGAATTTAACCCTTGACTTTGCCTTTTCTATATTTTTGCCATTGGGTGAGCGGTGTGATTAGGATGCAATATCCTAATTCACTTAATTATCACCCGCGAATGGCCTTAGGTCATAAAATTGAACTATATGGTAAAAATTCTATGTAATTTTATGCCAATATTTAAAGAAACAATCAATCTGATAAGAAACGGCTGCGATTTGTTTTGAAAATGTAAAGGTTAAAGTAAAAGATTACCACCGAGGATACTTCGTTTGGCATCGGTTGTACCATTACTGGCGATTTTTATCGCTTGCGCCGGCAAAATGGAAAAGTACCCATTGCATTACTGTTTCCAAGCATGTAAAACCTCACCTGTGGCTGAGTGAAGACCACTGAATACTAGTAGTTCGACCTGGTTTGGGTTTGATCCCATGCAATAAATTTGATGTTGATTGTTTACAAATTTCTTACTGTAGTATGACATTTATATCTATCTAATTATATCTCTGATACATCATCTAATCTATCTATATTGTGTAAATAGTGTAATTTTAAATTATTATTTTAGAATTAATTACTGGATTAACCATTAGCTGTTATTTTGCTTTAAAAGTGATATGATTTGAAATACACAAATTTCCATTTATTAAACACAGCCACTTAATATACTCAAATATGTTAGGAATGAAAATGATTTTGATAAGCATGTGTGTATTTAAGTACGTATGTATATACACATTAGTGTACAATTAAATTTTGTATTTTTAATTATTAACTTTATGCAAATTTTGTGCTAGATTAAAGAGAAAAAATAATTATTATTTATTTCAACAAGAGAATTATTAACATTAAATATTTTTCTTCCATACTGAATTTCAGTTTTATTTTATCTTTTAATAGTGCAAATATTCTTTTGGATGCAAATATGGATGCAAAAATTGGAGATTTTGGTCTAACTAGAGAAGGCCCTGGTTGTGATGATACACATGTGAAAGTAACAAGTGTACACGGAACTGAATGCTACTTGCCACCAGAATATTTACGACACAGGCATTTGTCACCTCAAGTAGACATATACAGCTATGGCATTGTAAGATATTAAATGGTGCTTTTACATTATAAATTTCAATAATTATTAATACTAAAGGAATAGTATTTTGATGTACAGTAGTTTTCTAGGTCAATTATGCATTTATGGGAATTTTTAAGGATAAAAAATGGAACTTCCCATTTAATGCTGAATGTTTTATGTATGAAAAATAACTGTCATAAATCAGTATTGTTTTTATATTTCAAGTACTGATATTATTGATAATAAATTAAATATTATGTGTGTTTATTGGCCACTTACCAATAACATTGAAAAATAACTGAGAAATTTCATTTAGTTACAACTTTAATTAAATCAAACTATTCTTACTTAATATAATCCAATAGATATATAATCAACTTAAAAAATAGGAAACAGTTTTATGTCAGCTACATTCAGAAATCCATGGCATTTACAACGTTAAATGAGGTTGCCAGGTTGCCAATGAGATAACTGATATGAGAGCAAACATGTAATGCTATATTGTGGTACCAATGTGGGCATCAAGCATGTGAGTAAGCATACAATGCTGTATTGTGTTGCTAACATGACCATCAAGTGTGTTATATGTATAATGTGTTGTGTGTCAGTGTAAAATTTATAGGGCAATACTTTAATTGAAATTTTAAAAAAAGTGCTAAAATTATTCAAATCACTGCTGTCTTATCATGGTGCTTTCTAATTTAACTGCATAAAGTAATTAATGTAAGAGCTGTTTGCCTAATTTAATTTTAAAGATAAACAAAATGCAGTCTTGGATTAATATGAATTTCAGATGTTAAATCTTAGTGCATTTTCAGATATACAGCAAGTATAACTGACTCTTAAACAGTGCAAGTAGAGAAAAAGTTTTAGTTAATTTCTAGGAAAATTCATTGAAGATTTTTAATAGTTTGAAGAATGTTAACATGTTAACTTAAAAAATACAAAAATAGTTTTAAATAATTGATGTGTAACTGATACTTAAAATGTATGTAGTTATTAGTTTATTTTCTCATCTACTACCATAAAACATAAGAAGTTTATCAAAAATGTTTATTTTTGGATGTAAGCAGAAAAGGGTGTAACATAAGCTATAATTCCAAAAATAAATTTTTCTGTGTTATTGAAATATCATGAAGAAGAAAGGACAGATAATATTGCTTTCATTCATTTTCTCTTTTTGTCAGTTATTTGGAGAACTGCATGATTTAGAAATTTAATTGCCAAAGGATGCATAATATTTTTTTCATTCATTTTCTCACCCACAGTTATTTGGATGATTACTTGATTTAGAAATTCAGTTGCCAAGTTCTTCCTCTATAAATGAAATTTACTATCCAATTTTTAAAGGTTTGCATAGAGCTGAATCCTTATGGAATTTACAACTTCCTTGCCAGTATGTTTTAATATATATTAGTATATATTAATAAGGGGTTGTTGAAATTTCTAGTTGAAAAAAATAAATAATTAACAAACAGCAGCAAAGAGAATTCATAAAGTTTTTATTTACCATGAGTTTTAGATCACCAAATTCTTACATAAATAAAAGTTATTAAAAAAATCGGGACAAAACTTTAATTCTAATGGTATAAAAATAAATAAATAAATTATAAATAAGTATGTATGCAAAAGTGAAGTTAAGATCACACATATAAGCATGTTATAATATTGGGGTAGGGCAAACATGAGGTCACAGGTGAAATATACAAAATCCTATGTAAATTTAGAAATACTAATAAATGTGCAACAATTTTTTAAAAAATTCATTATTGATTTTAACTAAAAAGTATATTATAACAAGAAGAGTCAAGAATTTTTATTATGGCATTCTGTGTGTTAATAAATCCCATAGTTTTAAATGATTTTGAATAGTTTGTAAAAAAAATTTTTGAAAGTGCTAAATGCATTATGAAAATATCAAGGAACTATATCTGAAATTATAGTCCATTTTTCATTTATATTTAATTGAAAAAATTCTGCAGAACTTTTCTTCTGTAATTATTTTTTCTCTATATTGTTAAACTTTTTTTGGGGTTGTCTACATCTAATGAAAATTTAAAATTAATAATAGGATAAAAAATTTATTTAGAATTATATTTCTAAAAATGCTATAAGAATGTATTTCTTTAAATATAGGTTTTACTTGAAATTGCAACTGGCTTAAGACCATTTGATCCAAAAAGAGGTGATGCTAAACGATTGGTGAGTTCTTTTGATTTTCATTTATTTCAAGTTGTTTAACATTTTCAAATTAAATAGAAGCTGATACAATATTTTTTATTTTCTAACCACTAAATGCTTATATCTCAGAGAATTCTGTAATGAAGGTTAATCTAACTAATGATATAATATTTTTGGAGCAAATTGTGTTAATAAATATCATTATGTGTGGTACATTCAAATATGTATATATTTACCATTGTCTCTTGTACAGAGACAGGCTCATCACTCATCAAAAATATTCTGTACTAGCGTATGTGCCCTCCCGGTTTTATTTTGTCAACTGTGAAACTGTCATCAAGCAGTGCAATTCATGCCAGTTAATAAGTGTGACATCACATCTGCTGTTTCGTTTGATTTAACACTGATTGATTCTTAATAAGCCACCTTTTTTTGTTTTTATTAACAGGGATAAAGATAAACTACTATTGCTGTAATTTTCTTGCATTAAAAAAAAATGTTAAATTTTGGCACCTGTCTACTACAAAACGGCAAGCAGAGAATTATTTTTAAAGCTCTGAGGTCATGCCATCAAAAAACATGTTTATTGATGGACATGATAGGGTCATCTGAATATGGCAGATAAAAACAGTCATAGATTGGGACAGGTACTTGCAGGACGTTTTCACTTATAATGGTCTAAACAAAGCTTCTGGTAAAATCACAGTGTCTAACAAAATAGTAGAAATCAGCAAAAGCCTTTTTATGAAGCGTGAAAAGAAAACAGGTCAAACAGTTCCTTTAGAATCCCACAGGAATTATTAGTGCATTTTTGGCAAGTTCTGTGTTAACTTTCATAATTGGATGGTAGCCAACGTTCATGGTTGACAGGATAATATATAAGTACCAAAAAGGTAGTAGAGGTGAGGGAAACATTTGTTTTACCCTGTTTAGAGCATTTTATATGATACAACTATCTTATTTGTAAATTAATGTATGTCTGTTAAAAACAAAAATGAAGTTTTATGTTTTTAGATATTTCATATGTAATTTGCATGAAGATAGTTAATTTATTTAATTAATATGGTCTTGCATGCATGAATATATTAATTAAATTAATATTTTATGAATGTTTTATATATGTAAGTAATTTTAGTGAAATTCTAGTATCTTTTCTATAATGTAACATGAAATGCTTAGAAAAGTGAATCTGTGCCAGAAAAATAAGATTGTAGGAGCAAGTCTATTTAACATTGAGATCAATGGCTATCTCACTAAATTGGTGAGATATCGCCAAGCTGGTAATGGTTCTGGTGACTAATGTTTGTCGCCAGACTTGGCGAGAAATTGCCAGAAGTAACCAAACTTGGCTACATTTTGGACCATTCTCTTTATAACTGTAATTGATCCCTATATATAACTATTGCTAACTGTATAATACTATATGTAACTATTTTGTTAGATATTGTAACCCTATTCATTCCTTATAGATAATTTTTATGTCCTCCAGTAATGTTGTGAAAAGGAAGTACTGTAAATTTCCCAGCTGACTGGGGAAAACTGTGCAACACTGGAGAGAGCATCAATCTCAGTTTTCCAGTTGCAGTTATATGGAGACTGGACCAAAATGTTGCTAAATGGCCTTCAAGTTTGGTGACTCATGGCGATTTCTCTCCAAATTTTGCAACAAAAATTAATCACCGAAACCACCACCAGCTTGGCAATATCTCACCAATTTAGTGAGATAAGCCATTTACCTCAATGTTAAATATATTTGCCCCTGTAATCTTGTTTTTCTGGCTGAGCTATGTTTTTCCAAGCTTTCATGTTACATTATATCAATACAATTTCACTAAAATTACTTACATATATACAAAATTGGTAACAATGCATTTTAAGGTAGAGCCATTTTTGAAGATTTGCTTTTTTTGAATTTCATGAGTCTAATTTATAGTTAATATGCCTTTTTAAATTTGATATGTTTATAATTCAAATGCTGTTACATTATATCTTTTCTATGAAGGTGGATCATGTTAGGATTTGTAATGATGCTGGACATTTGGACACACTGCGTGATACAAAAGCAGGAGAAGAGAACATGATATGGTTTAGAGAACTCATACAAATTGGTCAAAAATGCAGCAGTAGTGATAAAAAGAAACGACCACCCATGCAAGAGGTAGAAACTTTTTGCTTTTGACTATATTAGTATTTTCATAAAGTATTATGATTATTGTTGGTTTGTAATATCATAATTACTATGATTAAATTTAAATGCAAGAAATGAAGTTTGAATCGTGTTTGCTGTTGGGTTAAAGCTGATTAATATCTATTATTGTATTTAATTTAATTGGCTGTTAAAAATACATTTATCTGTAAGTGGCAGTTTTCAGTGCTGAAGTGGTGTTCAAAACTTAGACATCAGGTGAAATATTTTCTAGAGAATAAGAAAAAGTTACAAAAAAGTACAATATATAAATTTTATATTTATTACCTTTGAGTTATTACAACTGCATCTTAAAGTATCAAAATATAAAATATAATGCTGCTGAGATATCTAAGAATATTCCACAGTAGTGCACCAGTCTATTAAATCTATATTCTTAAATATCTTATAATATTCATAAAGCAGTTATAACCCAGGCATAGGCATTTGTGGAAAAAAATTTTGAGTGGTCTTCTGAACTAATCTTTTTGAATTGTATTGGTTGATAAATGAAATAAAGCTTAGTATTCAGGACTATCAAAATATAGTTTTTTTATGTAGAAGGTGGAGATTTGTTTGAGAGGAAACTAAAATCATGGGTAAGAGAAACACAGAAAAACTTATCTCTCCCTTTCCTTCAGAATAAGTGTCCAATACAAGAGCACTTTCAATGCATGAAAAGTATTTTCATATAGTGATTATTGTTGTGATTATCCCTATGTCTGGGCATAGAGTCCTGAAATGATTTGACATATAATCATCATATAGTGGTTATTGTTGTGATGTGCTTGAAATAATTTTCTTGTCAGTTCTGTTGTTATGTGTGGAATCATATCAGTTATGGATTTATTTTTAATTAAAAGTACAAATCATTGTTTTTAGAACCAGAAAAATATGTAATTTGATTGTAAAATAATGAAAAGTAAATGTGTTAATGTAACAATTTCTAAAAAATATTCAGTTTTGAAGGTAAAAATACACTTAAAATTCTTTTCAAATAAAATTATGAGTGAGTGAGTGAGTGAGTGAGTGATTATGGCGCAAAAACCAGAGATGATTATGACGCGCGAAACAAAAGATGAGATGATTACAATTGATGACATTAAAATTCAATAAATAAAAACAAGTAGATAAATGTACCAAATCCAGAGGATGAAGTCATATAAAAACAAGTTAAAAGCACATATTAACATTCAAGACACAGTCTTCAAAACAAATTACATTTGGTAATAAAAGCCAATCTCTTTTAAATAATAAAATAAATTAGAATTGACCTCTCTTCCGATTAAACGGTCGAGAGGTAAGTCACAGCTATTAAAATATTTCTGGCGAAGACTATTAAAACATGGACACTCAATTAAAATATGACGAACAGATAAACAAACATTACAATTAAAACAAACAGGCTCATTTTCAGCTTTAAGAAGATAGCTATGTGTGACTCTGGACTCTAGTGTGACCAATTCTGAGTCGAGTCAAAAGAACGTCCTCTTTACGATTTCCAGCAAAATCCCAATGCTCAATTCTAGGCTTTGATGTTTCTCAACTTGTTGTGATGCTGAACATCCCAAATTTGCTGCCATTTTTTTCGTATCTTTCCCTTGATGACACAGCAGATGTCTCTAAAAGGGATAAGGCGACTGGACAGTTCGAACAGCAGATTTTGCCGCGATGTCTGCAAGCTCGTTTCCCTTTATTCCCGTATGCCCGGGAACCCAGCAGTACAGGATTTCATATCCTCGTATCATTAAATTTCTATGAATTTTGAGAACATCCACTACCACAGGATTCTGAGTGTTGGGAAAAGCTTCCAAGGATTTAAGAGCACTATACGAGTCTGTATAAACTATGAACTTTTTGTGGCAGAGCTTTGAGATGTACAAAAGACCATAATATATTGCAGTTAGTTCAGATGTTAGGACTGAGAAAGCATGGTGCAGGCATCTGCCCTCTATGTAATCTTTCAAATACAAAAGCCATCCCGACATGATCATTTGACTTTGATCCATCTGTGTATATATCGGATAATAACTGCTATATTTGTGCCTGTGCTCAGCGAAAAGTTGTCTGTAAACGATCTCGTTAGTGCTCGCCTTTACGTGATGTTTAAAAAACATCAAGAAGCTGGAATCCGTGAATTTTCCCAAGGTGGAATTTCAAAATTCTGTACTGCTTGGGGGTGCATATCAGAGAGGGAGAGTTCCTCAATGACAGGGCGAACTCTTAAAGGGAAAGTAGGAACACAGGATGGACGTGTTTCAAATAATGTGTTACACTCATTATCAAGTAAGCACAGCTTATTGGGATGTTCAGGTTGAGATAGAGTATTAAAATATTGCAAAAGGGACAATTGCTCACGCCTCAGATAAAGTGATGGTTCGTTACAGTCAACATATAGGCTCTGCACAGGAGAAGTCCTGAAAGCTCCTGAACAAATCCGCAGACCTTGATGGTGAACAGGATCCAGTTTTAACAAAACAGATGACCGAGCGGATCCATAAACAACTGAGCCATAGTCCAGTTTAGAGCGGATAAGCGCTCTGTAAATGCGAAGCATGGAGCAACGCTCTGCACCCCAGGAGGTGTTCGCCAACACTTTTAAAATATTTAGTGTTTTTAGACACTTCTTTCTCAGGTTTAAAACATGAGAAAGGAAAGTCAATTTTCGGTCGAACGTCACTCCTAAAAATTTTACTTCAGGCGCAACTGGAATAATTGTACCATTCAAATATAACTCAGGTTCAGGATGGAGAGACCTCGCTTCCTACAAAAGTGCACGCACACAGTTTTCTGTTTCGAAAATGTAAATCCCTGTTTGTCTGACCATTCTTGGATCTTATTCAGAGCCATCTGCAGTTGCCTCTCTACATATCTCATGTCTGCTCCTCGACAGCTAATCTGCAGATCATCAACATATAGAGATCCCAAGATGGTGGGAGGAAGTTCTTTTAGTATACAGAATTTATTTTTAAACTAAACAGGGTTACACTGAGCACACAGCCTTGAGGCACACCCTCTTCCTGTTCAAAAACATCCGAAAAAACAGAGCCAATTCTTACTTGAAAAGTTCTAGTGTTCAAGAAATTTTGAATGAAAATTGGTAGGTTGCCGCGCAAGCCACTCTCGTGAAGATCCCGGAGTATACCGTATCTCCATGCCTTATCATAAGCTTTTTCAATGTCGAAGAATATCGAGACAAGGTGGCTTCTTCTTACAAATGCTTTTCGAATAGATGTCTCTAAGAGGAGCATGTTATCTACAGTTGTTCTTCCCTTTCGAAAACCACTCTGATAAGGCGATATAATATCATTCTTTTCCAAGAAGTAGACTAGGCGGCTGTTTACCATCTTTTCAAACAGTTTGCAGAGGCAAACTCGTAAGGGCAATTGGCCGATAGTTGGAGGGATTCCTTGGATCTTTCCCTGGCTTAGGAATAGGAATGACAACAGCTCTCCTCCATGCACTGGGAAAGGTACGCTCCTTCCACACTCTATTGTAAAGTGTGAGAAGGGCATTCAGTGACTTACAGGACAGATGCTTTAGCATTTCATAATTCACGCCATCAAGACCCGGAGAAGACCTATGTGTCTGCAATAAAGCTCTCCTTTAATTCAAGCATAGTAAAGTCTCTATTGTAAGGCTCAGATTTGGAAGAGTTGAATGCGATGGGATTTATTTCAGAGTGCTGCTTGATAGAAAGAAATGCAGGTGAGTATAGTTTCTGCTGGAAGAAACGGAAGCAAATGTCTCACCAATAGTATTCGCAATTTCTTCTATGGAGCTAATCACTCGGCCATCTTTTTCCAAAAAGGAAAGTGAGTGGTCTTTATATATGCCGCATGCTTTTCGAACTCTTTCCCAAACCCGCTTACTAGGCGTGGAGGATGTTATTTACGACACATATGAAATCCAGGAATCCCTCTGGCTCTGCCTTCTTACTTTTCGTGCATTTGCTTTGGCTCTTTTAAAGGCTATGAGGTTTCGCAGAGTAGGATATCTACGAAAAATACCCCATGCTTTTTTTTTGTTTTTTCAGTGCTTCATGACAGTCGCGATTCCACCATGGTTTTGAATATTTTAGTAGTTTTTCCTGATGTTCTAGGAATCGGAAAGCATAGCTGCCTGAATAATAGTATTAGTAACAGCTTCAACAGCGTCATCGATATGCGCATCTTCTACCATTTCATCTGTGAGCTCTGCAATGGAAGAGAAGAGTTCCCAGTCTGCCCTGTCCAGTATAATCGAGGGAGATCTCGACATGGGGTTTGCTCCTCTTCGTGCAAGAGACACAAAAATGGGATAATGATCGCTGTTGTACAGGTCATTTCCGACACTAAAAGTGCAAAATGGCAACAGAGATGGTGAACAGATGGCAAGGTCGAGAGCGTGGAATGTCCTTGAAGGCTCATGGAAGTAAGTATCTTGCCCATTATTTAGGAGACAAAGGCTATGATCTTCGATCATCTGCTCAATTTGTCTTCCTCGGCAATTTGTATCTTTACTACCCCAGAGTGGACTATGGCCGTTAAAATCTCCTATTATGATGAAAGGCTCAGGCAGCTGCTCTAAAAGACCATTTTTAAATCTTGCTGATCAATATGCTCATTTGGAGGCAAATACAGAGAAACGACTGTAACAACAATATCAAAATTTGTTTGAGTAGCGACAACTTGGAGGGATGTCGTCAAAGAAAGCACATTTGAGGGATAATCCAGTGAGGTGAGGAGACCTACACCTCCACTGGCACGCTCACCTGCAAGGTTTATCCTTTCCTGACGAAAGAAAACCTCCGAAGTTTTGCTTGTTGTTCCGGTTTTAGATTTGTTTCCTGTATTGCGAAGCATACAGGATGATGAACATTGATTATAGCTTTGATGTCGAGCAAATTTCGGTGGAAACCGCGACAGTTCCATGATACGAGGGTGGCCATTATGAATGGTTTTTGTTCTTTCTGTGCTCTTGTTTGGTTTTTCGTGGAAGTAGATGCTTGCTGGGAACTTCCATAGACCCTCTTCTACTTCCATACCGTCTGAATCCGCAGATTCAGAAACCATTCCATCAAGAGAGCTATTGCTGGAACTTCTATTTTTTATTTTTTATTTCTTTTTGTGTGGTAGTTTTGGGTTTGCTTTGAATTACTATTTCTTTATTTTGTACTGTATGGGTTGGGTTTTCTTTCTTCTTGTTGTTTGTAGTCTGTTGAGTTTTGTTTGGTGGCGTCTGCATACTAACTGATGTTTGGGTGGCAACTGTAGCGAGATCTTTTAAGAGCATTGGCGTAAGATGTATTTGGTCGTAGCTGTGTGCTTTGGACTAATCTTCTGGCTTCGGCATATGAGATGTTCCTCGTAACCTTTGCAGTCTGCATTTTTTTTTTCCAATTTCCATTTTGGGCAGAGGCGTGAAAATGCTGGGTGCTCACCCTTGCAATTTATACAAAGAGGCGCAGCGGTACAATTTTCAGAATCGTGGCCAATCTGTGAGCATCGGGCGCATGTGAGGCTGCCACGACAAGACGTCTTAGAATGGCCGAAACGCTGGCATTGGAAGCATCGCATAGGGTTTGGAATATAAGGTCTTACAGGACAATTTAAATATCCGGCCTTAATATTCTTAGGCAGATCAGGCGTGTTGAAGGTAAGGATCACGTGTTTCGTATCGATCAACTTACCTTCCTTACGCATCTTGATCCGCCTAGCACCGCAGACATTTTGGTCGGATAGCTCGGAAGCGATCTCTTCTTCAGGAACATACAGAAGGTCGAATTCCGAGATTACAGCACAATAATTCAGTGTCTTATGTGCTGTTACAGTGACATTCGCTTGCCCAAGTTTAGTTATTTGAAGTAAAGAAGCAGACTGGGTGGCTGAGATTGTATCAATAAGCAAGTCTCCGGAGCGGAGACGCTTTATATTTCTCGGCTCACCAATACAAGAATGAATATATTTATTTATTACGAAAGGAGACATCTTATGCAGCTTCGCCAGAAGGACTAGAGATGACTAGGAAACGGGGACTATTGTTATGATTTTTTTCATTTGTATCTGTGCCGTAATTTTTTTGCAGTAGACTTTTCAGAAGTAGGTTGAGTGGACTGGTTTTAGCAGTAGACTTTCAGAATTCGGTTGAGTGACTGGAGTAACTTCAAAAGTTTTTGATTAAGATAATATGAGAATTTGCCATATTGAAAGAAGAAAGATTCGGGTCCGACGGCCCCGCCCACCACGGAGCCCAACAAGGGAACACAGATTCCTGTGTTAGGGCTAGCCGGACCTATACGCAAACTGAAGCCCCACAGTCGGCTTTCCCGAAAGCAGGTACTCCCGAGAGCTTGACCCCAAGCCACTGACACAAGGACTAGTGACCAGCCGATTGACACCCGTGAGGACGACTAAGGTGCCTCCCGTTTAGCTGAAGCAGAGGCCAAAGCAGTGTGTTGGGGACAGTACCTCGCCCCTCAACTACCAGGACCCTCCTTTCCAGCGACACGGGTCTCCACGCACGGCAAACACGTGGGCAGTTTTCTCGCCACTCGAAAACTAGAAACAAGGTCTGTTCCAGCCTCTCGTGACGAGCCCCAAACTCCGTAGAGAGAAACCACAAGGGAGAAGGGAAGGGAAAAAGTTCCAGCCAAGAGGAGAGGAGACGGAAAAGAGGATAGATCACTGGGGCTCCAGGATCGTGACACCCGTCTCACCAAGAAGATGATCCCCTGAAGGGCTAGGGTACCTCGGGATTGCCACACCCGTACTCACAAAAGTGAGCCCCCTGAGGGACAAATAAATTATGAAATGTGTTCATTTTAGAAATGAATATATATAATATATTATATAAAAATTTGCAATAATTATTCAGACATTCCCTAACTTTCATCTTCTCACTCTGCAATTCAAAATTTTCTGAATACTAGAGCTCTGCAAATGCCAGAATAGGTAAAAATCAGAATACTTGTAGCTTATCCCATGTTTCAGTTATACAAACACAAGTCAGCTTGTAGATATTTTTATGTTTCTTCATCTGCCTTAGAAGACTGATCTAGTTTTGCTTTAAACTTTTTAATAAAGGATATTTCCATAGGCTAATTTTTCCAAGTTTCATGCAAACTTTGCATATTGAGCTCAATTAATGCTACATAATATAATATTTAACGCCAATCTGTGTGTAAAAAAATACTTAAATAAACAAACAAAAAATAACTAATAAATAAATTCTGCTTTAGAAACAATAATATCTTTATTTAACCAAAATATAATAATGTGTGTCTTATGATTTTTAAAATTTATAATAAAAACAGAATAGATTGTAAGCAAGATAAGTAATTCTTAAATAAGTAAGTTTTGTAAGTTTAATTCCTATTTTCATTAAAGAAAGTTTGCTAGAATGTTATTTTAATTGTAAATAAAGAAAACTAATATTGCTTTTCTGTATTTTTTTTGTATTTCATTTGTGTGCTGTTAACCCTTTTGAGATTAACAGGACAATATGTCCGAAGGCAGGTTTCATTTTTAGTCTTGAAAGGTTTAAACCGAGGTAATGATTTTAAACTTAATTTGTTAAAGGTAAACAAAAGTAGAAAAGTGTCAAAAACAAAACATTAAAATTTTCTGAAATTAAATGACTGGTATAAAAGTTAATATCCTTTGTTGAGCGCAAGAATTTTATGAAAAGTTTAGGATAAACCATATGAATTCCACAAGAAAGGATTCTTTAACCAAAATAATATAAACATTTGCTATTGAATTTGACATGTATGAGAAGTATAATATTGATTTCACTGGCCATACTAATTTTATTGTTAACTGAAGATATAGTAATTTTTACCCTACCTGCAAGATTTATTTCAAGCAATCACTGAGCATGAAAGGTATGTGAAAGGCCCATTTAACCAACTAATGGACTTTACATATTTTCTCACTAATAGTTAATCAGTCCATATTACGCATAATTATATTTTGTTCCATCTTTATTTATAATTTTTCTTGTGTAGGTTTTGCTTCAATTTGCTAAAATTAAGGAGGAAATGTCGATGGTAGACAAAATAAGACGTAAGATATTTTCATTATTTTATTAATATTTTTATTTTTAATTCCATTAAGGTTTCACAGTTAATGAAATTTTATTTAAAATGAAGGTTTGTCTAATGACAAGGGAAGCGGTGCAAAAGCCCTCAAATTGAACACAGAAATGCATTTGAGTCCAATCGAGCTTCAGCTCTATTATGATTTTCAAAAGAGTGGGCAAAGTGGAGTTTCAGGTTTCAACAAATTAAGTACTTCTCCACAAAACAATGGAATAACTGATGATACCCCAGTAATATTGGATCCAGCAAATGCTTTGAAATCTACATCTCCAAAAGTTAATGATTCAAGGTAATATTAATTTTGTTTTAGGAGAAGCAAAATATTAAAACTGTTATCTTTCAGTTTTTTTTAATGATATTTAAGTTGTACTTTAGATGTTATTATAAATTTTACTTTTATAAACTTGAGAAATAATTTAGTTTTTGCAATGTAATAGTATTATGTTGCAAATTAAAATTTGTAAGTTAATATAAATTATGTTTACCTAATTATTCCAATTTATCTGAAAACTTTCCATCAAATGTTGAAATTAATTGTGATGTGATAATTATACTTTATATAGCTAAAATTCATCTGATATGTCTTAGTTGCTAGTGAACTTGCCCATATGAAATGGACTTATGGGGCATACAAACATATGATAAAAATGCTTGCTATAACTGTGTTAAAACTATTAGGGTGTTTTGAAACTTTGTAGATGTAGGGAACCTATGAATTGTCACTTCTTTTTTGTTGAAGCCTCACAGAAGTAAGCATTAAAATACATTCAAAGTATATCAGTGTTGGGTACATTTTATATGGAAAATCTTTCTTTTATAACAATTTTTACTTCCTTGTATGAAGTAAAAAGGAAGTATTGTAATCGCAAAAAGTTTCAGGCAGCATATTTCAACGAAAATATCCATTTTAACCGCTATCGAATGCAATTTAACGATGTTTTTACGTGATATCTGTACGTAAGGACAGAATAAAATACTCTTTTCCTTAAAAAAAATAATAAAACTGCTTTAAAATTAATTCTGAAGAAAATTTTTCGTGGCGTCTGTACGAACGTACGTACGTACGTATCTCGCATAACTCAAAACGAGTAGCCTTAGAATGTTGAAGAAATTTTGCATATAGGACTGCTATAACATGTAGATGTGCACCTCGTATTTTGGTTGCAATCGACCACACCAAACGTACATAAATATATTTATATAAATATCCACTCTATTACCCGGCTCAGTGATCTCAGTTTCTTTACTCTTATATGTTTGTAAATTGTACCTTATTTTGCTTTAAAAATGATTGAATTATGTTGTTTTTATCTTCCGGTTAAGGATTTTTAGCCTTTAGTAAATCTGTGTGCAATATTTTTAGAATTATCAGCAATTTTAAAGTTGTTTAATTGCCGCTAAGCCTGTTTATAATGGCGGCCATTGATGTTTACATTTGAAACAGCAGACTAGTGGATTTGTTGCCAATCTAGAGAAACTTAGCTTTGCAACAACAAAGATAACGCATTCATTTATTATTGCCAATTAAATCATGCTTAATTCTTTCTGAAATTTTTTCGAGGAAATAAGCATTTGAGATTTACTTCATAATTTTTAATACAGCTATTTTGAGTTTTTATGTATTTTTGCTTTCTCGCGAAGTGAGAACTGAATTAATTATATGAGAAATACTCAATCATCTGTGAAAAACTGTTTCTTTTTTTGTTTTGTTTACTTAATTTCTTTTATACGTAGTTCAAGCTTTATTATAGTATTTGAATAGAACACGTGGCAATGATTAGATAATTCTTTAAATGATATACATTTTGTGCATTCTGAGTTATAATATGAATAAAATGTAATACTGTTAAGTAAACCTAGCGCCAGACTGTCGCTATGGTAAACAAAGTGAATTTTAAAAAATGCATTTATTCTATTGTGGTTTATGTGCTGTCGGCGAAGTAGGTTTAATTCAATCTAATAAGTTTAAATAAAATGCAAGAAAAAATGTGTATAATTTAATTTTCCGTACAAGGAAGTCATGTGGATCACATCAGATTTTTTACTGAATGGTTTACACAAGTTTCACAAGTATACTTATTGCATTATGTAGTTTCATGGCTTGGATTTTCTTTTCTTTCTGCTCTTTCTTTTTTTATCTCAAAACTGTGAGGATAAGGAAGATCAGTCACCTTCAACTATCCTGCTTTTCCACACTTGTTAGGCAATTTTCACTTTTCTCTGCCAGTGCATAACCTGTTACCTCGCTTGTCTAAGAATTTTGTTTCTAGAATTGCACTTGTCGGATGTCCTATAAAAAAGGGTCAGGCATTAAAACCTCAAAATATGAGACAAAGGGGTAAGAAGAAGAGAATGGAAAATGCTCTCGATTTGAGTACAAATAATTAGTAGTTCTTCTAAGATTAGCTTGGCTTCTCCAACTATTCTTTTGAGCTGATGTTTCAAAAATTTAAAAGCAACTTCCCAGAGCCCTCCTAAGTTTGGAGCTTTGTGTAAAAAAATTTCCGGAGTACTTTCTCAAAAGCCAATAAACCTGATAAATTGTCATCATGAGTTTTTTAAGATTTTGCAAACACTTCAGTTCCGTGTGAACATTTTCGGAGTTGGATGCATTATCACTGAATGCAGAATTACAGAACCTTTGCCTTGTCATGTCATAAACCACTTCAAAATTCCAGTTAAAGCTTCAAATCCCAGTATTTGTAAAAAAAAAAAGCTCTGTGTTACGTTTCACAAGGATGGTCATCTATTAGTTTTGAGGCTGCAGTGGGCTTTTGTTGGTAGCCCTATAAACATTCATGTACAATCTGCCTTTGCCAAATTTCTGCCACCCAGAGACCAAGAAGTTTGAAGTACACATCTAAGAAGAGTTTGAGGTCTTGCATGTAAGTACTTCCTATGATAATGTTTCATTATTTTGTGACCAGCTGGCAAAACTATGATATTTCTGAATATAGCTCAGATTTGACTGACTCGAATGTCCTCCAATATGGATGGCACCGTTTTTATCTAAAAAGGGATAAATAAATCTTTTTTGACTTGACAGGCATTCCTATTTTAAGGGTGGCAATTTCTAAAGAGAAAAAGTTTACCTCAACTCTGTTAATTACAATATCTCGAACACTATTTAGTTCTTCTGACTTCACTGGTTCTCTTTGTTGGTCAGATGGGTTTCTTGTATTTTGTGTCCTGAAAACAAAACTTAAAACTCTGATTAATTTCAAATAATTATTAGTCTTGTTCATGAGATTATCTAAAACATCATTATCTAGAATCAAAATAAATACAACTCTCACAGAAGGCTGCATTGCCTTTAGACAAAGATCTTCTGTAGAGCGTATCAAACCTGGACTCATATGTCTCTCGTTGTAAAAACTATGGACCATGCCACTTGTGTGTCTGCATTCTGCTTACGTTCAAGCAACTGGGTTAACTCTGTCTGATGACTTTTGGTTGAAGTCAAGTCTGGAGCACCCAATAGGACATTGTCAATGTAGAAGTTGGTGAAAACTATGGATGAGGCTAGAAGAAAGTCTTTTCCTTCATCAAAAGCTATTTCATCAAGTGTTTGCTGGGCTAAGAATGGAGCGCACATGCTGTTGCCTATATAACCATTTGAAGAGTGTAGGCCTTTACTGTAGAGTCAATGCTTCTCTCCCAGAGAATTCTTTGAAGATCGAGTTGGGACTTGTTTAAATGTTTTTTAATGTCTCCATTAATGCATAAAGATGTTTTCTAAATCTTAATATAACAGGAAAAAAGGTCTTGTATCACTTCCCTTCAGAGGAACTTCATTGAGACTAGTTATAGAGACTGACTGCTAGTTGTGCTTGTGTTGAAAACTATGCACAGTCAAGTCATGTTCTTGTCTGATCTATAGATTCCATGTTGAGGTAAATAGTAAACTACCTCTGAAGTAGTTTCCCTTTTAATCCTAACCAGATGATAGAAATTTTCATATTCTTGCATGAATTCAGTATTATAACACTTTCATTGTTTGGCTTCCAGATGTCTCCAAAGCTACTGAAGCATTTTGACATAAAATTCATGGAACTTTCCAAATTTATGTTATATGCATCAGGTTTAATTGACATTGGTATGACAAAATGACTGCTGGGTTTTCAATGGAGAACCTGAACATTCTTCACAATATCTCAACTCATCACTCAGGGTTATTGGTAATTTTCTACATTTTCTATCTCTCAAAATGACTTATTAGTATTTGGTTTAATGTGTACATGTTTGCAGATAACTAACAGTGGAAAGTTATGGAATTATTTTCTAAAGAACTAGAAGTTGCATTTGAGCCTGATGCCCTATAACCAAATACAGTTTATGGAAACAACAGTTTGTTATTTTCTGTACGAACCTTTCGGCGTTTAATAAACACTAAAAAGTAACTTGCCTTCAAGCAATAAATCAACTTTCTTGCCTTCACAAAATTCAGAGTGTGCTAAGACAGTGCTAGGAATTTTTATTTCCAAAATTTAATTAATATAGATGGACTAATATCAGTTATTTTTGGAGGACCAAAAAGTCTAAATTCCATTTATTTTCATTTTCTTTAAATCTGATAATTCACCTTATACTTTTGTTTCAATATGTTAGAATGAAACCATTAATTACTGAAGTAAGAGAAAAAAATCTCTTGCTGTTTTAATCTCACTAAAATTAGCACATTCAGCACTTATAAAATTACTACTGTGTGTTCATCAATTATTTTTTATATGATCTACTTAGCATTTCTTGAAGTTTTTTAGCTGACTCTTAATTAAGAGTGAGATAATTTATAACATTTTAAATTTGCATATCTACAGTTATTCTTTTGTTCTAGTAATGGTCTGGAGCAAAGATGGACAAACTACGGCCCTCGGGCCAACTCTGGCCCGTCGGAAGCTTCTATCCGGCCCACTGATAGAATTTTAATTTGTCGGTCGGAGGCAAATTAAAAGAAATATATATTTATATATCCATATCCTTTTCTACTTTGTTTAGATATTATTTTTTTTCTTCCTTTTATTCAAAGGACTGATGATCTTTTTACTTTCTCTGTTTTTGTTCCACAAAACATAAATTGATGAAAATGGCAAGCACAGACAGCTTTCAATCGGTAAAGTGTTAAAAACGGAAGTTCTTTGTTAGTTGTAGCTGTAGATTGGCGCCAACAAGCGTTATCTCTTTCTTGGGGAGCAGATATATGGAAATCCAATATAGGTGAATTAGACCTCATATGTGGCAGACTGTGCATTTTTAAACTCCAGCCAGTGGCTTTTTCTTTTGATGCAAAAT